TTGTTCCGGTGTATAGGTCTTTTTTATTATTGCTATTACCGTGCATGATTGCAGATGTTGAATTAAATCTTCCAGGTACCATTCCGATTGAACAAAACAGTTGGTTCCGAAACCGGGATATTTTTTTTTAACTCGTATCCATGTAGACTGTTTACTCGAATAACTGTATAGATTTGTTTTCCTTTAACCTATGTGACACTTTGAAATCCAAATAGATAAATCTACCAAGCTGTCTTACTGTTGCATTATCTCAGAGAAGATTTGTGACTCATGATCTGACCTCCCTGAATCCAGGTTATTTGTTTGATATAATGTCTTACTCAAACAGATTTTTTACTTTTTTTATAGTTTTACACTTGTTTAGCAATACTGGTTTATTATTCAGAAAGTTTTGCTTCTCAGTCTTGTAGGGGAATGTAATATTTCACAATTTCCCAATTTTTGGGGGTAGCTTTCCATTTCTGAGTGAGTTTTGGAGAATAAAAAAAATAATGGTGAACTAAGCCGCATTTTCAAAAGGTTTATTAGAAGGACCATCCAGCACTTCCATCTTTTTTTTTTTTTCAAAACCCTTCAGTAGATGTTCCACATTTTTCCTGTGTGTGATGTTCTGTGCTTTATGACGCGATTGGGGATAGGCTGGATAGGTCAGAAAGACTGAAGAAGGCTGGAAGACAGAGAATTAAAACCAAGCAGAATTAAAACTGAATATCTGAAAATTAACGTTGAAGGAAATATGGAAACATTAGGACAGAATTCAAACGGAATTAAACGCATTCAATTATCCAGGACCCACAATGACAGAGGATCCATCGGAAGCACACAGGTTGGGGAAATTGGGAACGATGTGTGGTGTTTTGTCTGACAAGAGGATTGATGTTACGATCGAAAGGAAAAGTTTACATGACAGCAGTCAAGCCAAGAGTGTCATACGGGACCGAAACGTGTCATATTATGAAAACTCACAAGGAAAATACTGTGTTACGGAGATGGAAATGCTAAATTGGATATGCAGGATGACAGGAGGGATAGAATATAAAACGAATGGATTAGGATGACGATCAAAGGTATAAGGAAAAAAATGGACATGTGATGAGACAGGAGGATAGAGAAATAAAGTCATGGAAATGGACGAAGACGAGGAAGACCGTCGAAAACGTAGCTGAGAAGAGAAAACCGAAATAACCTCAAAAGACGAGTTTCTGAAGTGATAGAAGTGGAGAAATGTCATCGAAAATAGTAACAACATACAAAAGCGGGAAAATGGTAAATGCAAACGAGAGGAAAATAGTTTCTCGATCTACTGAGTCCAAATAACCAAGTTTCTATCACAGAGTAGATATCTTGAATAAAAACTTACTGGAAAATTTCAGTTAGAGTCTTGCATAATTCTTTACTCTTATAAAGACAATGTTCTCGTCTTTCATGGAAATAATTTGATCTTTGCTTATAGTTTTATTATATAATCATTAAGTATTCTCAGTCTTCCTTGGCCTCTTTCATGGCCCGAGTAAACACATATCTCTCTCACATGCTGCCTGCGTCTCTCGAAGTCTAAAAAATTAAACGTCTTATCTTTGTAACACCTCTCTTGTGAGTGTCCTGTACTTGGGAGAAATTAATTATTTTGTTTTATTAGTGCATAATCACTTTACGTCAATGGAAGAATGTATTATAAATATTTTATGTCACTTTTGTCTAATGTGCATATTAAGTCGAGTATAGCCGGCCTGTCCATGCCCCAACCCTGATGTATTGTAGTGTTCTAGTGAGGGCAAAGCTCAGCTGAGATCCCTAGTAGCTTTTGCAGTATGACTCAGGCTGCATAGTAGATTGTGCTGTTAAAATCTACATTTTGAAGAATTTCTTTAAATTTCTCTTCGCTTCATTATCACTCTGTCCTATTTCTGTCTCCAAATGTTCTGGTCACTGAGCTCTAATATTACAAGTTTTTAGTGGATTTACTTTCATTGATTCACTTAATGTCTCCTTTATTCATTTCATTCTCAAGTGGCCTCTCTATATTTCTTTTCGTTTACACTGTTAATGCTTGTTCATATGTGGGTATGTATGGGTGTTCTTGTGTGTACATGATCTTGTATTTTTATTAGCCAATTAGAAATAACCTTTCACATAAGAATATCCTACATTCATTCAACTTGCAATATACACAGGAGTTACCGAATACACGGACAACTCAACAGAAGCTTGCAAAAAAATTAATAATATATTTTTTCCAGGTTGTACTACGGGTCTTTCATGGACTGGGAATCAAGACACGCTCCGCTGATTAAAGAAAACAAAGAGGAATTATAAAAAAAATAAAGAAAATAAAGAAAACGTTTTTTACATGACATTTAAAAGAAATCGTTTAATAAGTGATAATGTGTTAAAGATATATCAACTTGTTTCTTGTCTCTGGTGTGTATATAATGACTTTTATACTTTAATATTTGATGATAACGTATTTTTAGGAAAAAATATATGTTATCCATTTCAT